AAGTAACGTCTTCTGCATAGCTATGGGACCGGCGCTGACTCTGCCGATCACGGGCGTTCTGGAGTCGACGGGATGTCTGTCCTGACGTTTCCTGGGACCGGCGCTGACTCTGCCGATCACGGGCGTTCTTCTTCTTATTATTATTTTTGATTGATTGATTGATTTTTATTTCACGGATCCTCCAGAGGCAAATAGATGCCTATCGAAGGGAGTCTCCTAAGTAAGTATGGAAAATGAGAAAGTATGTTCGTAAGGGAGAAGAGGTAGAAGATACATTAGAATATAGAGTACAGAAGAAGTAAATTCAGTACTTCGGGTAGTACATTGCATGCTAATCATAATGAGAATTAGAAAGGCAGCATTGCGGACTACTATAACTGACATATACACAAACTATTGAAACTATCATAGATGTGGTTAGCCTAGACACAAAAGTCAGGAATACCTTTCAAAGAAAACATAGATTGCGAATGATACCGACGAACAGCAATACTAAATTTCGCTGTTGTAGAGAGTGAACGAATATCTTTAGGAAGTTTATTCCAGGCAACACTCAAAGAAAAAAGGGTTGATTTACGAAAGAAGGTGCCAGCTTTAGGAAGAATTATGGATGAAGGGTGACGACTGCTTTGGGAACTGGGTAGCTGGAAGTGAGACAACAAGGAGGGTATTGGGAGAATACATGGTGGAAATAGACAAGGCCAAGAATCTGCCGTCGCCATGCTAAAGATTCCCAAGAGGACAGAACATTGAGGTCTTCTTTGGAAGTCGTCCAGTCAGGCCGACGCTTGAGTTTACTATTTAGGTATGCTCTAGCAGCAGTAGCCTGCAGTTTATCAAGGGTTGTGGACATGGTGGCTGAAACGGAAAACATCCAAACGGGAACAGCATATTCAAGGAGGGGACGAACATAACATTTATACAAAAGATTCACAGCAGGAAAAGGAAGGAAGTTGGACATGTGGTTTAAAAGAAAAACCCGACCATTAAATATGCTGGTAATGTGTTGAATATGGGGATTATTATACTGACGGCAACTAACATCCATTCTAATTGGATTTACTCGTCTCCCTACTTCGTATTTCTTTCCAGAAAATCTCCCCTTACAGCAGGGAGTCGTTTACATATGACTCCCTGCTATACATCTACATGACTGTATACACGTTATAATAATTATGCTATCGGCCTACATGCGATTCCCAGGCTGGTCGACAGGCGGCCCAGCCAGCCTGCTAGTGGGATCTCGGCCTCGCACACAAATCCACACAAAATGTTACTGCACTGAATGCATTCCCCCGATCCACTTTGCATATATTACTAATTCTCTTGATGGTACCGTTCTCTTGATGGTACGAAATATCATAGATAGGGTCTTGTTGCCATCAATGTTCTCAGTAGAACGATGATAATGTTTTCAGCAACCCAGGGATGAGGTCTGAGATTATTTCGTGAACGATATCGTGAACGATATAATTCTATAATATCACTTGAAGCGAAGGGAATATAAAGTATTACCTGAAACGAAGGGAATAATTATAAAGTATTACGTGAAGAGAAGGGAATGTAAAGTATTACGTGAAGCGAAGGGAATATGCGGTAAATAATCACCAGTATAGTAACCTAGTCGAAACAGAGGTTTGTAATACGATTGAATATTCGCCAATGTTAATGAGGCTGAAAGTATTATTCGACTAGTAAACAAATGAACTTGGAAGGAGAATCAAGAATTTTTTATAAAAGGGAAAATGACCAATAAACTACAAATTGCACTATAATGTCCACTTACACCACCAGATACTAAACAATCAGCTCATGCGATAACATTGCACGACACTGCAGTTAGTTGTAGAACGACAGTACCGTCGGTCAGTGTCGCGCAATGTTATCGCATGATTTGATTATTCAGAAACTGGTGGTGTTAGGGGACATAATAGTATATATGCCTCATTCTCGTTGGGGGACGTCATGACGTAGGAAAGATACGAGAATTGTAGTTCTTTTTTGTCTTTCTTTTTCCATGACGTAATATTTGCTGCTGGCAAATGCGAGATAGTAGGAGCATTCGCTCTGGCTATGACATTCGTTTTCTTTTTCCTTTGCAAGTGTAGTGTCCTTTCCGATCCCGTTCTTCTAAAACTGTCAGGATCCTTTTTGGAATATGCCTACCCGTAAAAGACCATAGAAATTGTCCATGAACATAACCACCTTGGTTGTTGACGATTTTCTAACATGGGCTCCTCATGTAGACTATATTTTGCAAGAAAACTGGTAGTGTTCTCGGCATACTATATCCTCATCGTTCTCACCTCCTGAAGATATTCGTTCACTCTCTACAACAGCGAAATTTAGTATTGCTGCTCGTCGGTATCATTCGCAATCCATGTTTTCTTTGAAAGGTATTCCTGACTTTTGTGTCTAGGCTAACCACATCTATGATAGTTTCAATATTTTGTGAATATTTCATTTATAGTAGTTCGAAATGCTGCTTTTCTAATTCTCATTGTGATTAGCATGCAATCCACTACCTGAAGTACTGAATTTACTTCTTCTGTACTCTATATTCTAATGTATCTTCTACCTCTTCTCCCTTAAGAACATACTTTCCCATTTTCCATACTTACTTAGGAGACTCCCTTCGATAGGCATCTATTTGCCTCTGGAGGATCCGTGAAATAAAAATCAATCAATCATTCAATCAATCACCTGCCAAATACATGCCGTTCTATGTTTGATCGCTCATAACTATTACCTATTTTCCAGTATGCATGTCAGTCTACTTGAAAAGTAATTTGTTGATCCATAATTATCATTACACGAGTTTCTTGTTCATAACAAAACAACAATTCAATTTCATCTTTTTTTGAATTGTTGTTTTGTTATAAACAAGAAACTCGTGTAATGATAATTATGGATCAACTAATTCTGTTCCCCCGTGCTTATTTCAGGTACACGACAAAGAAGGGGTTCAGCGGCGACTTGGCGGCGTTCCGTTGCTCGGAAAGCTACTTTGAAAAGGAGAAGTCATTCGGGCAAAGGAACGTCAACGTCCTCGCCACCAACTGCCGTGCCGCAAGATGGACATGTTTGGAGGATATAGTACGGCGGGCCAAACCTCTGTTGTCAGCCACTCCATGAGGTCAGTCGTAGCCCGACTGGTCTATGGTGGATCGATCCATTTGTTGTTGCTCACCCACATCGCTTTCCCCTGTGAGCAACCTCTGGCTAGAGGCCGTCAGATATGGACAGCTCACACGGAGAATGAATACGAGATTTGCAGTGGCTGATGGGAGAAGGAAGTGTCTGGGACTTGAGAAGCTGTCAAGCAACCTTCATGTATATGGTGGGAAGCGTTCTGGCGAATCCAGTTCCGCATGGATCGTGCTACATTTGTTGGCACTCTGCAACGGTACCCACTTCGGATAGCAGGGGACCAAAATGCGGCAGACGATCCCAACAGCAAAGCTGGTGCTTTACTATACCAGTCATGGTGAAACGTAAGCAGAGATTGCTGGTGTGGTTCGCCTTCGTCAAAGTACTGTGGCAGAAATCGTCCACGAAGGTTTTGCCAACCTTGTAAAGACGGCGTCCAGGGATAGCATCATGTTTCCTGTGGGAAAACAGCTCACAAGAACCATGCGACGCTTCGAAGAACTGTCTGGCCTTCAATACTGTGCTGGGGCCATTGATGGTACGTTCACCAATATCACGAAGCCTGACAAGTTTGGTGATCTCTTTTGGTGTTACAAACAGTTCTCGTCTGTTTTGCTCTTCGCTTGCGTGGATAGTCCCGGCCTATTCACATCTGTGGATGTAGGTGCAGCAGGCTCTGTTGGAGATGCTGCTCTTTTTTATTAACTATGCTACCAAAGCCAATAAAATCGCGATACCATATTTAAACCTACGAGCGGACGGTAATGTGTCAGTATTCAGTGCCAGTTGCTTAGTACCAAGATGCAAAAGAAGTTGGTCTTCTAATTTGATAAGGCACCGTCTTTAGGAAACAACACTTCGCATTGAATAGACCATTTTTGGAGTTCATAAATGTGTATGTGGCTGCGCTGGAGTTTGCGGAAAATTAGAAAAGTTGTATTTCTCGCCGGCCGAGCGCATCGAGATAGGCGAGCAATGATTTCTCGCGAAATATTTTCAGTTGCAAATATGGCATCAGGTGTGTTCTTTATTGTCGCTTCTTTTCCTGACTTCTGCAGTCAGTTTTGAGTCTCACCAGTGTCCCGGCCCTCCCATCCTACTTTCTCTGCATATTATCTTTGCTTGTTATCACGGTTTGCTGTGAGGTTCTTGCCATGCCTACATGATGCCTAATCGCCATTGGGGACATACACCCGGGTTTTTTCCCTCACAACTGCGTCCGTCGGCGCGAGGGTTTTTCCCGGCTGGCTCGGTACAGGAATATTGATCTGATGGTGCCAAGTGGCTCTGCATCATGGCCCATTTCTGCTATCCCCTGGCACGCCTATTCTATCCGACACACTCTGTTCTCAGTCCTGGCTTCCGTTACTCCCTCGTTATTTGGTTCACATCTGGCTGCGGCCAACTATCCTTCGCTTTGTGTGTTGACGCTATTGCTGTCTATGTCTCTGTCTATACCAGTATATGTGGAGAGAGAAGGTACCGTCTTAACGGAAGAATATCTGGTTCTGTAAACTTCCCCCCAATAAACTACCAAACATGTATGTCACAGTCCGTAGGAGTAAAACGATGCCTCTGGTAATTCTAGCGTAAAAGTAAGTAAATGATCGTGTCCTTTCCCGAAGGGAACTCTAACGTGGTTGAATTAATATCCCAGACACTCTTCTTGTGCTAAGGAGATATCTAGTACATTCTCAATGATACGAAAAAGTCAACTTAATTGGTACATGAAGCAAGTGGATACGGTTATACAAATAGAGTTGAGTTTATAGTAAATTTGTAAGTTAATACGCTAACAATGCAACTCGCAGGGTATAAATACGAGTTTGTTTGCATTCAACCGCGGTTCGTTCACTTGCATTCACCTTGATTTCCGTGCCGCTCACTTCGAAAATGGAGTCGAAACTTGTGAAGAGAGTTTGCCGGCACTACCTGGATGGCAAGTGCTATTTCAACAAGAGGTGTAGGAGCCTACATATCGATGGTAAGTGTCTTGGATGAGTGACATATCCCGTTTCTGGGGCAATGACTAACATCCGTATTTGTGTACCTCCTCACAGAGACGGAGGGAACCAAGGAGCTTCTTCAGATGGTGAGGGACATGCCTCACACTGCAAGTGCTGGGTCCGTGGCCGCAAGACGACCAAGTGTTACCATTGGATCCAAAAAAGGTCAGTATGCCTTACAGAAAAGCGAACTTCTATGAGCCTCCATATTGAATGTTTTTCATTATGATCTAGACAAACATTAAGTGTTTTAGTAGAACATTGTTGTCAAGTGAAGTCACTCATTAACCTAGAAAGTTTAATCCATAATTGTCATTTCACGAGTTTCTTGTTCAGAACAAACAACAATTTAGTTTAATCTTTTCAAATTATTCTGTTCGCCGTGTTTATTCCAGGTATAGGACGAAAAAGGGGTTCAGCGGCAACTAGGCGGCGTTCCGTTGCACGGAAAGCTGCTTTGAAAAGGAGAAGACGTTCGGGCAAAGGAACGTCAACGTCATCGCCACCAACTTCCGTGCCGCAAGACGTCATACCGACACAGGAGGTGGCACTCCCTGTACTCCCACCAGGCTGCGGGATCGAGGTAAGATGTCTTTTTTTGTCATATAGGGCAAGGTTCCGGAACATTGCCCATACATATCACTCGTTTCCTTCCCCATTTTCAACCTTTCCGGCAATTCTGAGAATTATGAAATTCAACTCGATTCATCACAATGAGCGCGTGTTCGTCGCGAACGCTTGCAAAGCCAACCGAAGTAGCACTACAGCTACAAGACTAACCGAGACAGACAGACACTCCGTCGTCGAACACACACACACACACACACACACACACACACACGAAGTCACACCCAGACTACTATTATTATTATTTACTCACAATCATGTGGCACCAGCCAATGAAATTATGACGTGGGCGATACCCAGCAATGGCGGTGATAGAGCTAGAGGGGAGAAAGAAAAGGAATGAAAGGGGAACTAAAAAGTAAGAGAAGCGCGGGGGAGCTAGGGCAGGGCTTGATATCAACTATGTTGAACTCTGCAGTAGCTGTTTGAATGAATTGTAAAATTGGCAGGATTTTAGATTTTGTGGAAGGAGAGACCAATGGCGGTAAGCAAGGAACAAGGAGAAGTTTGTATAGAGGCAGACCGCGACATAGGGAAGCGGAGAGAGGTTTTGGTGGGTATGTCTTGACATTGAGCAAACCAGCTTAGGCAAGAGAGAGCATGAGAAGCAGCAATGCCCAGCTAAATTTTTTGAATTGTCTGGCATGCCAAGAAATGCACGCGGACCGAGAGCGGCACAGCAGAAGCAAGGCAGTATAAGGATGTGCTTGGAGTCAGGATAGGAATCCGTGATAATATTTTCAAAAGACGCCTTTGCATGACTTCGCATTCAGTGTTTTAGAAATACCAGCCCAAATTATGCAGCAATAATAAAAAAATTGCAGAATGTAAGATGTGTAGATAACATGGCAACAGTCGGTGTGGAGGTGTGTGATGTGTGATAAGAGAAATCCCATAACTGAGCTAGCACGGCTGTTTAAATATTCGATCTGGGATTTCCATGTTAAGTGTTGGTCAATAATGACGCCAAGATGCTTGTGTTTTGCAACGATGCAGAGCAGGGTTGTGGTGCCTGAAAAGGTACAGGGGCTGGTTTCTAATGAAGATAGGTCACAGGAACAACTGAGGGATACACATTACTACATCTTGAGAACTCAATCGGACCAAGTAGTGAAGACCAAGAAGAGCACGAACTGTGCAACAACAAACTGCACTCGAACTGAACTCGTGCAGCAAAAGCAGCGAGCCTAAGTATATCCAACCCCAAGCTGAGCACAGATCATGGCAGAAAGGCTAGACTCAGCGCGGAGAGGGACCAAAACAAATTAACTGTAACAAGTGGATCCAGCTACGAAAGCTAAATGTGGTCAGGCAAGTACATGTGGTCTGTAAGAAACTTTCTTTCTTTGGTATTTGTTTGGCTCAGATAGTGCATTGACCCTTTCAAGATTTTTTTCTCTCTTTCCACAGGACCTGCTGGAGGAAATGGATATCCAAGAGGACCAGAACGAATGAGCTGAAACGACAGATACGGCCTCATCTCCAGCGTACAACGAAACCAGAATAAAAATGATATTATGAAGCAAACCAGCTATTGTGTGAATTGTGCCTAATCACGGACATGGTTCCCTGAATGATCGGCAAGTTCATTAAGTCGTTAGGTAATTGATTTCTCGTAGCTAGGAGGGCCTAATGACTTAGGCCGTAGGCTGAAGGGCACAAACAAGCCACAAGGCCCTTCCTGGCACTAGCTATTTTAGAACAATGTTACATGGATTTAAACTGCAGTACAAAACTGCTTATATCCAGCAAGTGTCCACACGGTGTATGCGAAAGGTTGCGTAAAACACGCGGACACTCATGAAACCATGGAAACTCGCTGGCGGGGTTTCATCTCCTTTCCTTTAGTTTACAAGAGAATTTTTCTATTTTTAGTGTGCGGGTAGTGTTCTTCATCGCATGTCAACCTACAACTGATTGGACTATTCTTGAAGCCATAGTGGTCCGCGCAACTGGCTGCTCATGCTGATGCAGTAGTCGTAGTTGTTCGCTTCATGTTGTAGTTAATGTTCAGTCACCCACGCGAGACGCCGAGGCTGAAGATAAATTGGCGAGAAATCCGAAGAAGAAGAAGAAAAATGAGAAAAGCGTTTTGCATTGCATGTCCATGGACATGTTTGGAGGACATAGTACAGCTTGCCCAGCCTCTGTTGTCAGCCACTCCATGAGGTCAGTCGCAGCCCGAATGTTCTATGGTGGATTGTCCTAGGCACAGAATGTGCCGTCAGATAGGGACAGCTCACAAGGAGAATAAATACAAGATTTGCAGTGCCTGCTGAGAGAAGGAAGTGTGGGGGACCTGAGAAACTGTCGAGCAATCTTCACGTGTATGGTGTGAAGCGTCCTGACGAATCCAGTTCCGCATGTATCGTGCCAGATTTGTTTTCATTCAGCAACGGTACCAACATCGGATAGCAGGAGACGAAAATGCGGCCTTCGAAACCAGGTAAGCGATTGTCTATGGTGCTTTACTATACCGGTCATGGTTAAATGTTAGCAGAGATCGCTGTTCTGTTTCGTCTAGGCCAAAGTACTGTGGCAGAAATCGCCCACGAAGGTTTTACCAGCCTAGTGAAGGCAGTGTCCAGGGACAGCTTCATGTTTCTTGTGGGGAACCAGCTCACCAGAACCATGCTACGATTCGAAGAACTGTCTGGCCTTCCATACTGTGCTGGGGCCATTGATGGTATGTTCACCAAAATCACCAATCCTGACAGGTTTGGTGATCTCTTTTCGTGTTACAAACAGTTCTCGGCTGTTTTGCTGTTCGTTTATGTGGATAGTCGCCGGCTCGAAAGCTCGAAAGCTCTGGGAACTCTAGAGTGGTTGAATGAATTTCCCAGACACTCTTCTAGTGCTAAAGGGATATCTGGTATATTTTCAATGATACGAAAAAGCCAAAGTAATTGGTACATAAAGCAAGTGGACACGGTTATACAAGTAGAGTTGAGTTTATAGTAAATTTGTAAGTTGAAACGCTAACAATGCAACTAGGGTATACATGTAATACGAGTTTCTTTGCTTTTAAGCGCTGTTCCTTCACATGCATTCACCTTGATTTCTGTACAGTTCACTACGAAAATGGAGTCAAGAGAGTTTGCCGGCACTACCTGGATGGCAAGTGCTGTTTCAACAAGAGGTGTAGGAGCCTGCATATTGATGGTTAGTGTCTTGAGTGACACATTCCGTGCCTGGGACAATGACTAACATTCGTATTTGTATACCTCCTCACAGAGACAGAGGGAACCAAGGAGCTTCTGCAGATGGTGAGGGACATGCCTCACACTGCAAGTGCTGGGTCCGCGGCCACAAGACGACCAAGTATTCACATTGGATCCAAAAAAGGTCAGTATGCCTTACAGATAAGCGAACTTCTATGAGCCTCCATGTGGAACTTTTATCATTATGATTTAGACAAACATTAAGTGTTTTAGTAGAACATTGTTGTCAAGCGAAGCCACTCATGAACCTTGAAGGTTTGATCCATAATTGTCATTACACTAGTTTCTTCTTCAGAACAAAACAACAATTCAATTTCATCTTTTCAAATAATTCTGTTCCCCCGTGCTTATTCCAGGTAAAGGACGAAGAAGGGGTTCAGCGGCGACTCGGCGGCGTTCCGTTGCACGGAAAGCTTCTTTGAAAAGGAGAAGTCATTCGGGCAAAGGAACGTCGACGCCATTGCCATCAGCTTCCGTGCCGCAAGACGTTGTACCGACACAGGAGGTGGCACTCCCTGTAGCACCACCAGTCTGCGGGATCGGGGTAAGATGTCGGCCTTGTCATTATTGTCATATTGAACACCATACATGCAATTCTCTCGCTTCCTTCCCCATTTTCAACCTTTCGGGCCATTCTGAAATAATGAAGTCCAACTCGCTTCGTCTGTCACAGCCTGCGCGTGTTCGTCGCGCACGCATGCAAAGCCAACCGAAGTTGCACTGCATCTAGGTACAAGCCAAACCTAGACATACGGACATTCAGACGTCGAACACACACACACGTACACACTAAGTCACAACCAGACTACATCTCGAGAGCTCACTCGGACCAAGTAGTGAAGACAAAGAAGAGCACTTACTGCGAAACAACTAACTGCACTCGAACTGAGCAAACGCAGCAAAGCATAAGTATATCCAAACCCAGCGAGCAAAACCAAATGTTACAAGAGGATCCAGCTACGGAAGCTAAATGTAATCAGGGATGTATATGGCGTATGTAAGAAACTTTCTTTGGTATTTTGTTTGGCTCAGATAGTGCATTGACCGTTTCAATATTGGTTTCTTTCTCTTTCCACAGGACCTGCTGGAGGACATGGATATCCAAGAAGATCAGAACGAATGAGCTGAAACGACAAGACACGGCCTCATCTCCAGCATTCAATGCACCCAGAAGGAAAATAATATTCTTTTGAAGCAAACCAGCTATTGTGTAAATTGTGCATAATCACGGACATGGTACCCTGAATGTTCGGCAAGCTTATAAAGTCAGGTAATTGATTTCCCGTAGCTATGGTTATACGTTTGTGCATAGCAGGGAGGGCTTAATGGCTTGTTGGTGCCCGACAGGTTAGCCGGTTACAGGTTAAAATAAATATATATTTTACCGAACCTAGATAGATATATTCTGAATTGTAATATTTTGCCCACATCAGCCATGATGTGAGAGCATAGGCGATGGTAAGGGCATCGGGATTGGACAATGAGAACGTTAAACCGAAACCATTTCTGAACGTTTGGAAATACATGGACCCTACGTGTTGGCCAGGCCGACTTAGAACTAAAAGAGGAAGAAACCGAAGTCTTATTTATTATTTAAACTCGAATGGTGAGCCAGTATAGTTGTGATGAAGAAAGGAAAAGGACACAATGTTACGAATTATGACAAACTGTCCACCAACGTAACCAGATCTTATACAGTCAGCGAGTGCGACAAAACGGCACAAAACTGACAAGGACTACTGAGACATTCGGCGACCTGACACCTAGCTCCAACACCTCTCCAAAGCGTTGCGTTGCGCTTTCCTTCCCCTCTTGGACCTTTCCGAACCTGAGCCTTCGAATTTGGAAGGTTGTTGGTTTGCGCTTCGGAGAAGTGTTGGAGCGAGGTGTCAGGTCGCCGAATGTATTAGTAGTCCTTGTCAGTTTTGTGCCGTTTTGTCGCACTCGCTGACTGTATAAGATCTGGTTACGTTGGTGGACAGTTTGTCATAACTCGTAACATTTTGTCCTTTTCCTTTCTTCATTATTTATTACTTGAAGTATTATTATTATTATTATTATTATTATTTTCTTATTTTACTATGAACGACGGAATCTAATTGCAAAGGTCATGGATGGTATAAATTATAGTAGATGGCTTTAGGAGTGTCTTTAACGAGAGAGCTTGGAAGCTCATGGCCCTACGCTATGCTTTGTTGCCTAGTAGGCACCGGCGGCTTATGCCGGCATAATTTCGTGGTTGAAAATTTGGAGCATAATTTGGCATCCTTTCGGAGGTAGGAGCATAACTACTTCGGATTGCACTACAGTTCTAGTATACACAATTGGGTACAATGCACATGATCAGTGCTGGTGGTCTGCAAGGTAAAGGGTTCGGAGGTCATGCAGATCGTGTTTTCAATGAAAAGCAGGGTAGAAATCATCGCTATACTTTATTGTGTGCTCGAACTCGTCTTGTTCAAAGTTATTTCCAACACAGATACAGTACATGGTATTATAACCCAATACTAGTTCAAAACTAGTATTAGATATTTAAAACCCTGTTAAAGTTCACAAACTAACAATACAGGTATGCGTGGTACACTACATGTACGCGAAGCAGAAGATACAAGCGAATCAGCCTTGGTCAGGCATCCCGGGGCGAACGAGATACCGACGGGTAGTCCGCAAAAACATGTACATTATGAATGTCACGAAGTCATGACCTCTGGATTTTAGCAGCCATGACTTCGCAGGCTATGGATATTGTTCTAATAATTAAACAAATTGAGGTAAAGTTAATGTTCGATCATGATGGAAGTAGAGGTGGAGCTGCGTAAGAAATGAGCTGATTGATCGCAGGGTGTCGGTTAACATCGGTTGGACGAGTATGACGATTGCGAAGACAATTGAACCGCGATGATAATTTTCAAAGGTAACTCAAACTAATTTGGCAATGAAAAATATCTTTTTATAAAAGAAGTCGACTAATGAATAGAAGAAGTAATGTTTTCTCTTTTCCATGTTGATCTCTAGCATGCATGGATACCTTGGTATGGGATACTCATGTATTTTGTTGTACTTATGACCACATGCAAGTACAAAAAAGACACAATTTTCCGAAATTTGAGGCTCCATAAAAACAACAAAGTGGATATGTATCCCCGCGTGCCAAAGCATAATACGAGGATTTTGCGAGCATAATGCGAGAATCCATGAAAGAATAATTCCATGATTTTCCAAGCATAATACATGCACGCCGAAGCCTATTGCCAAGCTCATCGTGCATGCCTTTAGAGCTGATGTAAATGTCGTTCTGGAGTCGACGGGACCTCTCTTCCGGCGTTTCCTCCGCCCACCGCTGACTCGCCCTTTCACGCTTATTTTGGATACAACGGGACCTCTCTTCCAAAGGATGTTTTTGCTGACGCATCCTATCACATATTCGGCAACTAACGTTCATTCTAATTGTATTTCCTCCTCGTCTCCCTAATTCTTTCCAGAAAATCTCCCTATACATCAGGGAGTCCTATACATAATACAGTAAAACCTGTGACTAACGACCACCCCTTGGTGCAAGCAAAAGCGGTCTTTAGTTGCAGGTGGTCTTTAGTTAGAGGTTTACACCGTGCGACCATAACATGGATCCCATAATATGATAATATCATATTATGTATATCAAAATGCAGCTAAAACATTTCCCGAGGACTTGCGCAATACCATTCTTATTTCAGGTCAAACAACACTTGGAGAGAAAGACGGAGAGATGGAGAGAGACAAAAAGAGAGAAAGAAGATTATTTTTTGAAGACATCAAATTCAGCTGCTACTTCTGAAGCCAGGAGTCAAACGTTCCCTGTGGAAGTTTCGTTTTGCGCTGGGCTTCAATTTTTTCATGCGATCAATCGTACCGACTATCCTTGTTGTGACTTCTCGATTGTTTGAACACGATCCTTCAGCATCAGGACCTCGCGGTGCTGCTTTGTTTCTGGATTCCTTGACGCCATCGTCGATTCGTTTGCATGACTTGGGTGACAGAGCCGCTCAGTCTTCGTTTCTCCTCAGATTAGTAACATCGAGCAGAGAGCGCTTTCGATGCGCTATCCAAGACGTTTCCTATCATGTTTATTCTTGACAGCGCTTGAAATTCTGACAAGTGTAGTGGAGTCCAACCGACTCCACAGTCAAAATGGCCTGCGTTCATTTGTTGAGCTGTAGTACCGAAAGATTCCTTTCAGGACCATGGAAAATCAGCAAAATTTCAAGAAGGAGCTTTTAGCGCCATTTGATTTCCTACATCGCGGTCGCTAGTTACGGGTCAAAAATCGTCTATGGGACAAGAAAAGGCGGTCGCTGGTCGCGTTCAGCAGGTAGTCGCTAGTCACAGTGCATTTTGAATGTGAGACTGTCCGTTCCAGGCCAAGTGGTCGGTAGTACCAGGCTGGTCGCTAGTCACGGTATTCTTTAGTTACCGGTTTTACTGTACAACGAATATTATGGCCAGCTGTTTGTGGCCAGCTGTGTTTTTTGTTTCGTTTTGTTTTCACATAAAACCTCTTGTACGGGCAAAATAACACATTTGCGAAGAATCAACACAACTACATAAAAAGACTCATCAGATACAGTAATGAATACAGAGTCTGTCACTCAGTAAGATCACTGCAGGCCAGGCCAGCTTTGCTTGATGGCACGGTACGGTACGGGACAGATACGGGAACTAGCGAATATTGTGGCCAGCTGTGTTTGATGGTACGGTACAGGAAAGGATACCGGATAGCGCCAGGCGTGAAACAAACAAAAATATATAATAAATACCAAACGAGAGAGCTTGGAAGCTCAGGGCCCTACGCTATGCTTTTTTTGCCTCGATGTTCTAGGCAAAAAAGCATAGTTAATTTTTCATTTCTCCTATTTTTTAAAGACATAGCCTGGGATTCGAACCAGCAATATCGTCCTGCATGCATCTCCCGATACACTTCGCATACATACTAATTCTTTCAAGTTGCTTCACGTTATGGTCTTGCATTTGAAAGCCCTATTTGAATATTGTGGCCAGCCGTCTTTGATGGTACGGTACGGGACAGGTACGGTCGAGGGTAATACGACACCGTCTTCCACCTTGATGACCTAGGCAAAAAAGAAGAGGGATGTTATATTTTTGTTTAATTCTCCTATTTTTTTTAGATATAAAGTGGGATTTGAACCCACACAATCGCCCTACATGCATTACGCGATACACTTCGCATTTATACTCATTCTTTCACCACTCACGACACCAAACATCACGTCACGCACAAGCTCACAGGCGTGTGTGTGTCCGAAATAGGTAAGTTTTCGTGTCTTGACCCTGGCTAGCAGCTGTCTCTGTACTCCCAACTCCACCATGATACTTTCATTTGTGCGCTTTACCATCCAGGATACTCTGAGCAGACGTCTTTAGCACCGCATTTCTGCTGCCTGTATTCGTCGTTCGGAGAGTCCAACTCTCAGCTCCATACAGCAGGACCGACCACACAGCGGCATGCATTATCCGGATTTTCAGCTGCCTTGAGATGTTGTGGTCTTTTCAGATGTCAACTAACTGCAGCACACCCTCTTTCGCCATGGCAATTCTTGACCGAATATCGAGGATGCAATCACCGTTTGTTGTCTTCCAGGATCCCAGATACTTGAAACTGCTCACCTCTGCAATTCGTTCTCCATCGACCACAAGTGGCGTTGGAGCAGTATCGTTTGCACCAGCAGTACAGGTTCCGATATGCATGATCTTGGTTTTGAACAGATTCAGTGACAGGCCCTTCTCTCTTCCAGCGTCATTCACAGCATAGGTGAGGGCAGACACTTCTGATGGATGTGCACATAATCCCGTGTCATCTGCATATCGTAGGTTCGACAGCTGGCGTCCTCCGATTCTCACACCGATACAGTCCACATCAGCAACACGCATAACACTCTCAGGATACAGCCTAAATAGATGTGGGGACAAAACACAGCCCTGCCGAACACCATTCTTGATGGCGAACTCCGGCGAATGCGAGCCATTCCATCTGATAACTCCGCTAATCCTTGTGTAAACTTTCTGGAGCCAAAAAACTATTTGGCAAGGGAAACCAAAATCCAAAAGCATTTGCGAGCAATTTAATGTAATGTCATGCAAAAATAAAGACAAAAAAAGAGAAAGGAATCGAATGGAGAGCCAAGGAATTTTTATTAATGCGATTAATAGTATAAGTGAAGCGGACATTACAAAATAATGAATGAGAATACATGTATCTAAAATGCTTGTTCCTAATCGATTTTCTTGAGACTATCATCAGGGAAAAATTCGTCTCACAAATAATTTTAGTAAAGAAAAAACGACCAAGAAACTACAAGTTACGCTATAATGTCCACTAACCGTCGGTCAGTGTCATGCAATATGTTCGCATGAGCTGATTGTTCAGTAACTGGTGGTGTTGGTGGACATTATAGCGTAACGTGTAGTTTCCTGGTCCCTTTTACTTTAAGATTTAAAAAAATTACATTTCTCGTTTCTTTCCTACATAAGCCAACGAGAAATGAGACAATGGGATCTGAACCGCATGCGGGCAACAGGTTTACTTTTTTTTAATTGCCAGGCAAGTAATGTATTCGGAGTTGAAAAGCTTCCTAGTGAACATTTCCCAGAAGAGGATCAGTAGAATACTTCATGCACATACTCCATTGGTTTTCAAATTAGATTTGTGTCATATACATAGAATGTACTTCGAAGTACATTTTTTGATAATTATAGAGAAAATAGTACGATGTTAATGGTTCTTAGAAACAAAATGGATACAGTAATTATAAGTATGGAGTATAGAACAGAAAACTCATTTCAAATGAGTTCATAGCAAAGTTGTAGTGATACCGATTCGTCGTAGATACCAGTATATAACGTAAGAATTTCATTATGGGCGACTTTTACTCTGGCACCCGGTTGATTTAAGCTGGTCTAACTTTATTTGACGTCGCCATGGACCCTGAAGTAGTCCAATCAATTTGCCGAGACTTTCTACGTGGCACCTGTAGGCGTGGGAAGACTTGCTCAAAAGTGCACCTCGTTAGTAAGGTCATCTTGCGTTAAAAAAAGTTTACCTGCCGGGATTTCAGCTGATTTTTCTGTTCTGTTTTCATTATAGGAACCGTAGGATCCCGCGAATTGGTTCAGCAGGTGCAAGCCCTGCCACATGATGAAGAAGGTGTAGCCAGTGCTAGTCTACTACCAGGTCAGCGCACTATCGACGAACTGCGCGAGGAAGCGAAGGCCTTCGTTCAGTCACTGAAAAAACCATCGATTAAGGCGCCACCATCAGTTTCACCTCCAGCTGCCACAGCTACACGTATCACGACCCATAGAAGGACAGTATGTGTTAATCAAAATGAAGGTCAGTAGTACAATGAGCTAAAATTTCCAAGTTGGAAGGCTGTTGGTTTGCGTAATGGAGGTGTGTTGGAGCTAGGTCTGAGGTTGACGAATGTCTGAGTAGCTTGCTAGTTTTGTGCCCCATTATCAGAATTTCTGACTGTTTATATTATTATTGTTACAGTCGTGGATAGTTGCTGCATAACTCGTTCTCATGCATTTCTTCTCATTTTTTTACATTTTATTACTGGCTCAGTATCCGATTAAAACTGTACCAATATCAAGTACTGTAAAACCGAAAAATCTAACGACGAAAATGTTTAAGGTTTTTGTAATTTTGGCATGATAACGTGCGGAAAATTTAACGATGGCTACCGTGCCAACAAGAATATGCATCGATGTATGCGCATTTTCACACACAGGGTTCGGGACAACGTTTCTTCAAATAGCGAATACAAATAGGTCGTTAAAACGGTAGACTTTGTGACTCGTTAGACTTTCCGGTTTTACCGTATGAAAGGGGAAAACGGAGTCCAATTTCGAAAGAAAGTGTCAGATATTCACACAGTGCGGTAAAGCCAGATCAGTTGCCGAACGTTTTCGTTTTCTTCTCATCTTTGGTTAAGTGCAGGAAATCAACCAAAAAAAAGTCAAAATACAGCAACTTATAGAGCTAAAGCAAAGGCATAGATCAAGAACCTCACCTAATGGTACCGTGAATACCTTTCCTGTGTTGTCCTACTATCATTGTGAAGACAATTTCTCAGGATTATCACATGAAAACGCGGTCAAAGTTTAACATAATATTGTTCAATTGTTTCTGGTGATAATTATGAGTACGCTCATTTTACTTTCGACAATATTGTATTTTTGTATTGCATTGAATTTTTTTTACTTCGGTGGCTCCACAGTACAATTAGTACTGTAAATAGGACCCAAAAACCGATGATAAGGAGATAAAATTGTACAAAGAAAGAGCAAACCAAAACGCTACATGTACATGTAGATGTACGGTAACTATACTATACTTGGCACTATACTTGGCACTTTGATTTCAAAATTCCAAATTCTGTAAACATAATCTGTGCAGAATTTGCACAAGTGACAAAATATCAAATACACAATTTATGTACAATATTGCGTGAAATAATTATTGTTAATCTCTCGGTTCATGTGTTTCCGGCGTTGCTGCAGCCGTCGTCACGCAAACCAGCACCACCGTGTTGAGGGCTGCTAGGTTTGAACCACCGGTCGATCAAGGAATGGATATGGATTGCGATGCCATCAGTGCAGAGGCAAATATTCCAGCCGCAGCATCATTACCGCAACACCAGGTAGGATACATTATTGTCATGGGCATTGCTTACTTTACAGATGCATCTGCGCACAAAGAAAAGATCAAGTAATTTTTGTCTTGTTGCTAAGCGAGGAAATTACTTTGGTGTTCCTGAGTGCAATATGTGATACGTTCTTACTTTTTATCCTTCACAGAGCATGATGGGCACTATGGAGGTCGGAGGCATCCCGATGCAGGACGCACTGGGAACCCTACATGCTGGCACAGATCAATCAGAATACAGTGCCAACCCAGACGATCAGGCCTGAGATTCAATCAAGTCGAATATTAAAATTTTAAAATTCAATCATAAATATTAGAATGGTTAGACAAGGAAATATTGTGTACGTCTGCATACTGTTCAAAATCTGCTTTGGGTGGTGGACTCGATCGCATAACTTGTGCCCACAGTTTTCCATGTTAATATTATATAAACAAGGGTCTTAGGAAAGCGTTTCGAAGACAAATGTTTGCATATACTATCACAACAAGACGACTAATTCCATTGCAATCATTTCCTAAATGTCCACATACACGATTAAAATGTGAAACGATGATCGCAAGGCATACAACGAAAGGGAAAAAGAGGATTTTTCAGAACTGTTTTATTTTTTATCCATCAGTGAATCTACATGAAAATGGAATGGGAACTACTTATAAAAATTGGACAATGAAAATTGAAAGAAGGGGAAAAGAGTGGAAACATAAACGTGATTGTACTACGTCGAAGTACATGTATTCAGGGGGGACAATTTCTTTCACTGTGTGGTGTCGTGCGAGTCCTACTCTTGCTAGGCAGCTCAACATTGTAAAGGCAATCTCCATTCACTAGTAAAAGCCAGTGTTGTGTGTGCAGAAGGGAAGTGTTATCACCCTCAAATTGTTTACATAGTATTAACGTTATGGTGCGAGTGTGGTGAGTGCGATTCTCCCCCGCCCCGCTCCGTTCACAGTGTGGGCTTCATGTGGGGAGTGCGATTCTCCCCCGCCCCGCTCCGTTCACAGTGTGGGCTCCCTGTGGTGAGTGCGATTCTCCCCCGCCCCGCTCCGTTCACAGTATGGGCTCCCTGTGGTGATTGCGATTCTCCCCCGCCCCGCTCCGTTCACAGTGTGGGCTCCCTGTGGTGAGTGCGATTCTCCCCCACCCCGGTCCGTTCACAGTGTGGGCTCCCTCTCAACCAACCGTGCTAAGAAGGTGTGCCACCGAGACCGCATGTTCATTTTTCCTATACGCAGCCGTCTATACAGCAGCCAGGAGAAGACAATGGCGCCTACCCCTGATCATTATAGGGTAGGCTATACATGCTAGGCTACATATCAGGGAGTTGTAAAACCCTCTACTGACGCTAGACATGCTAGGCTACATATCAGGGAGTTGTACAAACCCTGCTGGGGCTATACATGCTAGGCTACATATCAGGGAGTTGTACAGACCCTACTGAGTCTATACAAATCCCTGCTAGATATTGAACAGTAGCTTGTGGATCTACCCCAACTAGCCCTCGCTCAATGAAAGTGACTGGTTCTTTTTTAGCAATATAAGTATGTACGCCATAGATGCGGCTAAACATACTAAAAGGAATAATACGCCGCAAAGCCACCAATGATGACTGAGGAAGACTCGCAACATTCCATCATGGACAAAACATTGAGGTACAGCTTTCAAGCGTCACTCGTGCCCTCACCTCTTTGACCTTGATCGTTGCTTATATCTTTTAGTCATTTGGCTTATGCGAAGACTAGCCAAGCATGGTTGGTGATGTCAACGCGACCAAGCATAACAATGATATAATATTAATAATAACATTCACCCTGATGATGCCCAATGGGCGAAATATTGGCAAAGTTATTTATTTATTTGGTGCAGCTGAGAGCCTGTTGCCGGAATGGCGGTGTTTTCGAGTGCAAGGAATACGCTGCAATGGAGTTTGGGAATTCTGAAGAAACATTCACACACTTCTGGTATGAATGCATTCACCAGCAATACAATAAAATAAGGCTTGGAATTTTTTAAACATAAATATTGACGGACTTGACCCTTCTGTTCATGTCTTGCCCCGCTCTAGTAATAGCTCGTGAAACTGTCCAGTCCACATTCCTGCTCCGTTTCCCTCGGGTTTTCTTTCCTTTCAGTTGCATCTTCCTTTCTGCTCCTTTTTACTTTCTCTTTTCGTTCGTCCCTCTTGATATTTGTACTTTGTAGTGTTGAGACAACGAACTGAAATAATAAAAACCAATCAACCAACACGAACAGCATGAAACTAGGAAAAATTGTCATGACTATGACAAAAAATGGGAACGAAAACAATAGACACCGCAATCACCTCTGAGTTAAGCCCTATGCTTCCGGCCCCTGCTTGCCTTCTTGAACGAAACAATTTTGATCTTTTCTGGAGCACACTGGAAGTTCATTGACCTTTCCACTCGACCAACTGTCAAGAAAAAAACACTAAAATCGCTATCTGCTAAATCATTACTTTTTAGTTTAATTTTGCAATGTGCAACAGTGTTTGTTTGTTTGTTTAACCTTTTCTGTTTGGTTAATTATTAACGATGAATCATTTATATATTTATTTATGTATTCCCCAAAGGCCGAGGTCTAAGTCGAGGGGGTCTCCGTTCATGGCTTACTGGGAATATATCTGCAAAATTATAGCATATAGGTTGAGAAGAGGAAGGGTTATGACAAATGCGTACTGTAGAAATCAGCCATAGCATTCATTACTATGTTACAGAAACTCTGGAAGGAATAAAACCAGCGGGTTCAATGCGGGTGTTGGCAAAGATGGTACGGACACGAGACACAAAGTTTTGACTATTTTGGGTGGTTCTAATGTCAGTGGGGAGAGAATTCTCATCATAAAGATCATTTTGATGCCATTATATTCCACATTATGCACAGTACAACTTTGTATTTCCTATTGAGCGAGGATTGATAACAGACTAAGACGTATTCATTGAATAGGTCATCGTGCCAACTGAATAAGAATAAAAAAAGCACGGCGAGAAACATAATAAGACATGGAGTGTGTCTCGCCATCAAGGGTCTTTAAAAGACAGCTGAAAGAGAGGAGCATTGTGTTCGACTTCATCCAGCACGCCTTGCATGAGTGATACTCGGGGATAGTGTATGGCAAGTATTTTCATGATTTACTATTCATTAATTTTTTTGTTTACTATCAGTATCACTGTCGTCACTTACACTGTCTTGCTCGTTTTGCTTCATTGTTTTCATAAAAAAACGGGTGTATTTCGAAGACGCTTTTGGACAGGTCCTTGCGGTCCGCGGACATGTCGGACATTACAAAAATTAAAATTTAATAATTAATATGGGAAAAAGGAGAAGGACTAAATGGTACGAGTTGAGACAAATGGTCCTACAACCTAACCCGATTATATATACAGTCAGCGAGTGCCACAAAGTGGCACAAAACTGACAAGGAGTACTGAGATATTCAGCGGCTTGACAATTAACTCCAACACTTCCCCAAGGCGTGTTGGAGCTAAGTGTCAGGTCGCTGAATGTCTCAGTACTCCTTGTCAGTTTTGTGCCATTTTGTTGCACTTGCTAAACAATCAGCTCATGGAATGGCCATCATGATGACATTGTGGTAACATATTGATGACTAAGACTTTGTGTTGGACTAGCCACGAACCAGCTCAGCTCATCTCAGCTATACGCTCAAACAATAGCTAAAAAAAGAACCTCCAACTCCCAACCGGCGAGGATACATAAAAACTCAAAACCTCCAATTCCCAGACAGGCACATTCTATCAAGTAGATATTAGAGGGGTTAAGATGCACGTTATTTCTGACGTGACGCCAAAGTTCAGTTCGTGTCATTTGGCTCGTGCGTTGAAAACCAGGAGTGACCTGGTAGCCTGTCAGTTAGGCGCATGACATTTCGTCGCCAGACATTTCAAGGTGGTCAATTCATCGAATGACATTTCGCAACTGTGCTGGTTTCGCAGCTTGATTTTTTCGTCGAATGACACATTCCACGAGTACATTTCGACGAAGTTATATTTTCACCGCCGACCCTTTCGCCGAATTTCACTGAAAAACTGTAAGCTTTGGGTACGGAGTCCTTTATCAGGGTGACTCAATCATGGACACTGATCCGGATTTTACTTTGGGAGGCTACCCTAAACTAGTCAAGGATGGGTATGGCTACGTGCAAGACAAGAGAGGAAGAAACGAGACTGTGTACTGCAGCGGCGAAAGAGAGACGAGCTGTTCTACACATGGAGACAAAAAAAGCCGCGACGAGTCAGGACCCTTCCCACCAGGTCGACCCGGGTCACTGGGAAAAAGGGTGAGCTATGGGGAGATTACCATCTTACATAACTCTGAAGTGAACAGAGCGCAGACCCCGAAATGTAGCCGACAATGTTCCGCCCACACTAGCTAACTTGCGCGAAATGGTGGTACTGGACATGTACATAAAAAATTGAAAATGCACGGCGGTATTTTGATATTCTGAAGGCCAGTATAACATTTTCACCATGTATTTTGGCACCAGGTGTGTAAGAGACAAGAATTCGGTGAAATGCTCTGTAGTCGAAAAAAAACCCTCTCCCAATTGACGATCGCCTAAACAGCAATTCGGCAAGGTGTGCCTGTCAAGAATTGTCCAAGCATTGACGCGGTTTTCGACCAGTCGACGGCAATGAAATGTCACTCGCCGAAATGGTTTTTGGCGTACTGACCTAGAACGCCTGCAGCTCACGTCGAATTTAGGAGTTTTACGCCAAGTTTGACCTGAAATTGCGCGTCGTGTCGATAATAACGTGTATCTTAACCTCTCTACTAATATTATAAATAAGCTATGGTACTCGCTTTTTGGATTTTTTTGGCTGTTCAAACAGTTTTTATTTTTATTTAGGGTCAGGGTCAGGGTAACATACACGCCATCACGTTTCTTCCGGTATACTGATAACTATGTAGGTTCAGTTCAACGTGCAGAAAAGATGATTGTCCTCTCCTCGCCAGCACTGTTCTCCTCGCAGTTCCTCTAGATCAGTTATGTTGAATCGTGGCTGAAAGGTTTCACGTAATTTGCATTATTCACTGAAAATTATCTGTGGCTTCCGGAGGATTGGAGAAATTTCGCCCACTCCTCTTCGACCAAACAACGAGCGCGCTCAGAATCTGTCCTTTTCGCCATTTTGGATCTCAGCTTAATGAAACACTACCAGAACTCACATCTTGGAACCGCACTTGAAGGTATGACACGCGACGGTACGGGACAGAGTCATCTTTTCTGTC